ATCGAGCATTGTTTCGTTCTGCTGTGCATGGGGTCACTATGAGTCGGTTCCGACTCGATGGCACCTGACAACAACAACAACAACATGATCTCAAGAAACTTAGAGTCTAGTATGGTAAATTAAAACATAACAAGATAAAACAAAAGTTGTTCAGTCAAGTCAAACTCATGGTGACCCAGTGTATGTCAGAGAAGAAAGCAGTGCTCCATAGGGGCTTCAGTGGCTGGTTTTTCAGAATTAGGTCACTGAGCCTTTCTTCTAAGGTGACTCTGGGTGGATTTGAACTGCAAACCTTTGGTTAACAGTTGAGCATGTTAACCATTTGTATCACCCACAAACACTAAAATATATAGCCAGGTATTTTGTTTTGAGCTCTTCCCCTGTGTCCTTTCAGATTAGGAGAATGAAAGTATACAAAGTGGCTTCAGAAAGTTCATGGAAAAATGGAATTAAAAGATAGTGGAATTTTCCCACCAACTTTTGAGGCCCCTTTGTATATTGTTGAATTAAAAAAATAGGAGAACCAAGGAAGAATGTATACATCAATTATAACTGGTATAATAGCATGTCTATATTGAACAAAAATGAAAAGGAATTGTTAGCAAATGTCATAGGGAGATTAAGTTCAATCAGCAGTTGCTCAAATTAGAATTTTAGTATGACCTCATGAGTATCCAATAATTTACAGAAAACTGCATACTTTCCCCTGTTTAATTAATATGCTCTGATTGGAATTGATTAGTTTTCATGTATTCCACAGTGTGTAAACATTCATTAGAATATAAGCTTTGTATTTTTTACTGTGTAGAGTCTCAACAACAAAAATCACAAAATGAAATTTAAAGGAGTTAAAAAGGAATGTGTAGGCATTATACCTTAGAATTGGTGACCCATTATCTGAGTTGTAGTTATGATTTCTATGGACTTGTTGAAATTTGCTTTCCCCTTGTTTTCACATTTACATCTAATTTGAATCCCATGGTAAAGTATTCCCCCAAAGATCTATGAAATTCATAAAACTACAGCAGATTTAAAACAAGTAAGGTTAGCATATTTGTATGTTCATGTTTGGTTGCGGTCAGGGGATACTGAAGAGCAGGGATGGGGTATATTCAGAGAAGAAAATAAAAAACAACCTATTTGAATTAAGTGTTCAGACACCATAATTGTGGAGTATTTAGAATGAAGTGTGTATGTGCCTGAGGACCCAGCTGTCATTAGTAATGAGCATGCTCTAGAGCTTTCTGTAGAATATCCACTGAATGATTCAACTATATCCTCTCTACTGTGAACTGGGTGCATCTTAACACTTGTTCTCTTCTTTCAGATAGATGACCCCAACAGCAAGCTGGAGGAGGTGATTAATGAAGCTGATGCTATCACCTCAGTGAACAATCTGGGAAACAAGCAAGCCCTGAATACAGATTACCTGGATTCTGATTATCAGAGAGGACAGTTGTACCCGTTCCCTCTTGGCAATGATTTCCAGATGGCCACATATACTCTCACAAACACAGTTCCGATGACCCCATCCTTCAGGAAACGGTGGTACATGAATCTCAACAGCCTAATGGACCAGGCTTTGGCCCCGCATTGTGGCAATGGGGAAGACCTATACATCGTCACAGGCGTGGTCCCCTCAGACCACAAAGTTAAAGACAAAGTGACAGTCCCCGAGTTTGTTTGGCTTGCAGCCTGTTGTGCTGTTCCTGGAGGCTGGGCTATGGGCTTTGTCAAGCATACCCGGGACGGTGATGTCGTAGAAGATGTGATGGTAAAAGATCTAGAGAAACTGCTTCCATCTAACCCTCAGCTGTTCCAGCACAACTGTGGTGAAACTGAGCAAGACACAGAGAAAATGAAAAAAATCCTGGAAATCGTTAACCAAGTTCAGGATGAAGAACGAATGGTGCAAACTAAAGAGAGCTCTATTCCTCTCTCCAGCACAAGGAACAAGAGATCTGATCTGTTGCCTCCAGAGGCACCTGAGGAAAGTAGCAGCCTTTTGGGGAAACTGATAAGCATCATTGCTACCCCATTCATCAAGCTTTTCCAAATAATCTGGTACCTTGTGGTAGGAATCCTGAAGTACACTGTCTATTTCCTGTGGTACGTTACCAAGCAGATGATGAATGGCATAGAAAGTTGCCTTTACCGCCTGGGCTCATCCACCATCTCATACTTCATGACTATTGGAGAAGAGTTGGTGAGCATTCCGTGGAAGGTGCTCAAGGTCATAGTCAAGATCATCAGGGCCTTTCTCCGGATCCTTTGTTGTCTGCTGAAGGCTGTTTGCCGCGTTCTGGGCATCCCTGTCCGAGTCCTTGTGGATGTGGCCACTTTCCCTGTGTATACTGTGGGGGCGATTCCGATTGTGTGCAAGGACATTGCTGTGGGCCTTGGTGGCACTGTCTCTTTGCTCTTTGACACTGCTTTTGGTACCATGGGTGGTCTGTTTCAAGTTGTTTTTGGTGTCTTCAAACGAATTGGCTACAAAGTTACTTTAGAAAATTCTGGGGAGTTATAAAACTAAAATAACTAATAGTGTTCAGCCACAGTAAATTTTATTTTATTTTTTTCACAGCAAAATCTGGAATATTTGTCTTTACAGTTGGGTTCTGTTGAGCCAGTTATTACATTTGATCTTAGCTGGGGTTGTCAACCTGTGTTTTCCAGAGGAAGGTGGTACAATTTAGGCTTGACCCAAGAGAAATGTTCAGATTAGGATTGTGTGTGGGTAATCTGCTGTTTACCTCCAGGGATATGTATGAACTTTCAAGACGTTCATAACGTCAGTTATCCACGCTGATATATATGAGCCTTGAATTTTCAATTGTGACCATTAAAAATTATAGGGGAGAAGGGAATTAGAATGAAGACAACATTAAGCTAAAGGGCTTTTGAGAAAAGAGGAATATTTCTTTTCCTGCTATTCCCTGAAAGTCTTGGCAAAATTGTGTAACTACCATTAACCAATTGTTGTTGTTGTTGTTATGTGCCGTGGAGTCGGTTCTGACTCATATCGACCTTGTACAGGGTTTCCGAGGCTATAAATCTTTACAGGAGCAGAAAGCCTCATCTTTCTCCTGCGGAACAGCTGGTAGTTTCGAACTGCTGACCTTGCGGCTCACAGCCTGATTCGTAACCACTACGCTACCAGAGCTCCTTCAATGACCAATTAGTTAGTGATTATTCATTTTCTCCTCAAGTCATCTGAACTTAGTAAAATACAGATGATGCCTCTATGCTGAGATAATTTTCTAGACTGGGATTAGAGAATTGGCTACAGCAGTCCCCAGGTTACAAATGTCCAATTTATGGACAACTTGAAAATTTGTGCTTGCCATTTAATGTTTTGTAAATTTGCCAACCCGTACCTGCAACAATTCTGCATTACAATCACCTTCACTTGCTTCATGTATAGATTTTAAATTACTGAAAAAGTAAGGCTAGATAAACTGTAAGTACCTGTTTGGACTTACCTACAAATTCAACTCCTTCAAGACACACTTAGCAACAAATCTCTTTCATAACCGGGGGATTGCTCATGTCCTTTAGTTCTCCATGGTTATCAAGTTAAACTCGGCTGCATTTTCTTTTAAATAATGACACACATTTTTGTTATTCTGTACTTTGTCAAATGTGGCATAACAAAATAAGAATGCAAGAGCAAAGATTTTCTTGCCCCTTGAACAGTATAATACAGTTCTTTCAGGCATAAGAAAGAGAACCCAAGGGTAAGAGCCTTTGGACCGCTTCAGCCAACTTTGGACTAACATGGTGAATATTAAAATTTCATTTAAGAAGATTGAGTTCCAAGACCTACATGCTGAGCTAATAATAATTTTCAATATAGTAGGTCAATCTTTCTTAATACTTCAAACAAGTTCCCAATATAATGACCTACTCAAAAATTTGCCCTTAAATGGTTGTTTTGGTATAAATATATAGAACACACACCCCAATAAATAAATAAATAAAACATTCAGGTCATTTTGGGAAAAAACAAAACAAAACTTGATTAAGAATGATTACCTCTTAGGAACTATTTTTAGTGTGTTTGACATTGGAAAACATAGCTCACCCATAAGGCAAGCTCAATTTGAGAACCAGTCCTCAATATTTTGTTCAAACACGTGTCATTTAAAATCATGCACTGAAAAGATAACAGGAGAAAGCAGTATCTCCCAAACTTTGTTCTGCCTTCCACAGCTGGAATGGAGTCACCTAGATTTTTCTGCATGTTGTAAAGAGTTGCTATGAGGTAGGAAACAGCTGAGTATAAATACTTATCTTGAAGGTACAGACCACTAAGTCATCAGAAAGGTGCAAAAATTCAAGGAATTAATGATGTGCCAACCATTTGTATTGGGTTGGTTGAGGAGAACCATAATGCAGTGAGAATTAATGATACAGAGAGACAGTAGAATTGGACCCAAAGTAGAACAACAGCCAATAAGCTGCCATTCTGATGAATATATAATGTGAGCTTGGGGAGTATGAACACTAGATTGGTCCATGGTAAGGAGATAAGTACTAGATTTAGCTAATAATCTTAAGCAGTATTTTATAAACAATCCTGTTTGTAAGCATAGACATCTGTAGCTGGGCCTTGCTTTGTTTGTTTCAGTGATGTGTGAATGTAAACTTAATGATAAATCAAGAATCCTGCTGGATGAAAAGGAAGGAAACCTTACAAGTGACCACATAGACAGTCCAGCTCAACTCTCCTTTGATTAGGAATCAATCAGAAACACAAGGAGGTAACTGGCTTGCCCAGTTTCATGACTAGTTAGCTGATGGCTGATTGGGAGCCAAGGTCTTTTACACATGTCTTATCACATGTAGGCTGTCAGATATGTGGCACGTGTGCTACTATTCACCTGCCTCCCTGAACCATAGCAAAATTATTGAGATGAAGATGATTAGATACCCATGTACAGCATCATGCTACTGCATCCTACAGAATCCATAATTCCTTAGAGTGTGTATTTGCATTCTGAAAGGAAGTGTCCACAGCAACTTGAGCCCCCAGGCACCATAGAAGGGACATCATCCAGAGCATCCAAATCATGCTTTTGTAGAGAACAAGAAATGCCCTTGTTTCACTCAGAGCCTTTAAAAAAACAAACATCTATTTATTTTTGTGTGATTGTTTTTAGAATCTGGGAAGGGAGTGTTTATTTACAGCAAAAAATATTCCTAAGAGTAGGTGGCTGACCCCCTTCTCTGGCCAGCTTCTGTTTGCTGTTCACAGACAGTGGGTCTGGCACCCAGCAGGTGGCTGAATTGCTGATCTGTTCCCAAAGAGCTGGGAACTGGGCTGTGATGCGGGAATTTGGGTTTATGAATCCCATCTCTGGCTTGAGGAGTCTCAGGTGGCTCTGCTATATCCTCAGACCCATGAGGAAGACAGCCACTTTTCATGATTAAGAGCTGAGGCTCTCGTCTGTGGTTCAGCCACACCTTTGAACACTCATCTTTTCAGTCGTGCCTTTTGAATGCTGGCTTCTCACTCAGCCCTGGGACTTCAGCCTAAATGCAGATTAGGGGTTTAGGAGAAGGAACCAAAGTGAAGTACTCTTCATTTATTCAGTCGTCTATTCATTTATCAAAAGGATTGCAGAAATAAACAGTGCACAGATCCCATCTTTGAGGTGTTCCAGTCTAGTGGGGAGAACAGCTGGTGCAATAGATTCTTGTAACATATCTATTGTATATGCTACAATAAGGGTACTAGAAGCACACATTCTTTGGAATACAGGAGGAAAAGCAACAAAAGCATGGAAATTAGACAAGGCTTTGCAGAGGATGTGACAAAAGTCAACTGGACATTTTGAACCTATGTACAATGTTGTGCATCTTACAGACGCTCAATAAAGTAATTATTGACAACTCATTAGCTTTTCTGTAAAATATTGCAAACTGGAGACTCCTCATTGATGAAATGAGGTTTGAGGATTATTTTAGTTATTAATGCTGCTGTAACAGAGATACAAGAAATGGTAGCTTTAACAAACAAGTTTATTTTCTCAGTTAAGAGACTGGAAGTCCACATTCAGGGTGCTGGCTGTAGGGAAAGGCTTTCTCCCCCTGTTGGCTCTGGAGGAAGGCCCTTGTCTTTTCAACTTCTACCCCTTGTTTCCTTGGTGACTGTCCTGTAGCTTGGTGTTTTTCTTTCCCATCTCTGCTCCTTTCTCTGTTTCCTTAATCTGCTTCTATATCTCCAAAGAGATTGATTTAAGATATACCCTACATGAATACTGCCTCATTAACATACCAGAGAAAACCCATCCCCAAATGAGATTATAACCACAGGTATAGGCCTTAGTATTTTTTTAAAAAATTGTTTTTATTTGGACGGGGATGACATACAATTCAAACCATAATAGGAATTATCTGTGATTTTGTTTTTTAAATTTTCTTCTTGATCTGCATTAATTCAAACAGTAACATATTAATTACATCTGGCTTTTGTTCATTGTTTAAATTTTGAGTCATACTGTGAAAACAAAGAGGGTATGGTCCGTGAAACAGGCCTTAGAACTACTTTTCTCTGTTGTTTTTCTGCAAAGCTTTTTTTTTTCCTCAGCTGTTTGGGACATCCAGTGTTTGTGACTGTCCTTTATAAATAAGCACCAAAGGCTTATTGCTTCCCTAATTCTGAAGCACATAGAAAATTCTAGAAGTAGGCTTACTTGTATTTGTTTAATTCCTTAGTAAACTCCCACTGTCTGAGAAATAGCAAGCAGTCTCTGAAGGGGGACAGGTCCTCTCTGTGGCCTTTACTACAGGGAACCGGCTCTGGATTGGAGGTGGTAGTCATTCTTGGCTGCCTTTCCCAGTGTGGGCAGGACCTGATGTGTGATGTGATCCTGTGTCTTGTTTCCCATTGGTTCCCCACACAATACATGCTTTTCAGAATGTTACACAAGTATAGTGTGGTCTGCTTGATATTCACAAATAGGCTCTCAGACTTCTTATTGCCTCTTTCTGGAGATGACTTCCCTGGTCATGGACTGTATGCTAACAATGAGACTCCCAACCAATTATTTTTGAGCTTAAAATTCAAGAAAGAAAGTGCTCTTGTGTACCACTCATCATCTTTTACTGTGTTCAATGTATCTCAGGAGTTTAAAAAAGATTATTCCTGGAGGTTGCTAGTGTGTAATGGCTAGGAGCCCAGGCTTTGGAGTCAAAATGACTTAGGTTCAAATTCTGGTGTCATAACTTAGTGCATGGTCTTGGAAAATTTCTTTACCACCCAAAGCCTCAGGTTTCTTATCTGTAAAATGGAACTGATCATTGTACATGGTACAAAGGATTGTTATTAAGAATAAAGTGAGCTAATGCATATAAAAGGAGCTCTGATAGCATAGTGGTTACAAGTAGGGCTGCTAACTGCAAGGTCAGCAGTTCAAAACTACCAGCCCTTCTGCGGGAGAAAGATGAGGCTTTCTACTCCCACAAAGATTTACAACCTTTGTTGTACAGGTCAGAAACCCTGTACAAGTTTGCTATGAGTCAGAACCGACTCCATGGTATATCACCACCACCACCAATGCAT